AATATTGAATTTCAGTGGGGAAAAGATTGTTAATCATTTTCCTGGATGTGAGCTTTCATTGTTTAGCATACGACACAGACATGGTCGTGCGTTTTTTCTAAGCTCCCGAGCTGCATTCCAAGCAGCCCCAGTGACTGGTCAATAAATTCTAATGTGGGAATTTGAATTTTACATTTGTGTGATCCTATTTTTGCACAGAATTGAGACCTTAGTTATAATACCTAAATCTATTGATTTTTTCTACAATTTTAACATACACACACACATACATACATACATACATATATATATATATATATATATATATATATATATATATATATATAGGAAAGAGTTTATATTTGTTCCAACCAGAGAAAAGTGTATATATTAAAGAAAACATTTTCGATGCTAAACATCGAAAAAACATAAGGAAAATTAATTCATTTTAATAATATATGGAAATATCCATTTTTCACCGGAAGAAGGTCCCGAACCTGAAAATCGTGTTGCAAAATTATGGAAAATAAAGCATAATATATATATATTTAAAAAATCTACATTACAACCAAAAACGTTTATGATTTCTTCTTTTTGATATATATATATATATATATATATATATATATATATATATATATATATATATATATATATATATATAAAAGAGAAAGAGCACAAAATTTTATTAAAACGATGTTTGTTTTACTTCAGTCCGAGCAATATGTCTGCCCTTGTCAAATAAGGAAAATAAAGTCACATGATTAAATATTAGCAAAAATAAATATAAAACCACCAAAAAGGCTATGAGTTGAAAGAAAAATGTAATTATGCCAAAGATCGAATGGTTTGAAACTTGAATGATTAAGAATATACAGATAGCGTAAGGATTGTGTTTTAATTAAAAATCTAACACAACAAAGATATAAATATAAATAAAGTGCTAAGTTGTCACTTCCTCTGGTTAATTAGTTAAGCAATATTCAACCTGATCAACTCATAATCGCAAACTGCTTGATAGTTAATGTTACTTAAAGCGAATCAACATTTTTCTCCGTTTCAAGGAACATTTAATAGTCAAGTAATTTGAATCATAAGTGTAGTGGGGTTGAGGACAGGGTATCATGCCATTTTTTCTGTTGTTAGTAATTTACCGCTGTTTCAAGGAAGTAAAATGATAAATAAAAAGGTTTTCTTTGACGCAATGTATGTTTATATGCATGACCGATTTTTTATTGTCAGAAAATATAAGTACCCGATTGGTGTTTTTCTTTTTTAAAATCAATGTCACCCCAAGCAAGACAGTACAGCCACTAACAACCAAGTGGTTACAGGGTGTGGAGGAATTAGGAATTAATTGCTAATGAGGAGAAAGAGAAAAGAGCACCCAGGAGGACAGTAGATAGCGATTGTCATTGCATTTAAATTCTTGCAGATTAAAGTTGGCTGGAAAACTTGCTGCCGGTAAGGAGTTCCATAGGCGAGATGTACAAAATGTTCTATTAGCGCAGAATTTACGGCTACTTCTAAACGTAAATTGATGCAATCTCGCTGCTAGTCTAGTATTGTGTTGAAATTCACACACATAGGCGCCATAGTAAAGAGCTCATCCGAACAGTTACCATGAAAGCATTTATAAAATAGGGCACAGAGAGGCAAAATTACGGCGGTGGACAAGTGACTGAAACTGAGCTCAGGGCCATTAATATTGCTGATTCTTTTTTGGATTTTATCAAGGAGTTCCAGGTAAACTGCAGGGGCACCAAGCCAGTAATATTCTAAACATGGACGAGTGGTAGACTTATAGATATGCAAGATAGATTTAGGAGAGAATTGTCTCGCCCGACACGGTGAACCGACTTTTTTGGCAGCTGACCTTTCATGTCAGCTCGAGAAGGCGCAATAAGTCACTTTTCTGGAGGATAGCATGCTGATGGAAGGCAGAGATGGTTCTCTCAGTTGATTAATATAGTTTAGTTTTGGTATAGCCGGAAATAGTGGTTCCTGTGTGCTATGGCGGCCGAGCATGCTGGTGTAAACCAGAGAGAGGATTGTGGTTTCACCTAGTATTTCCAAAAAAGGATGAAAGCGTCCATGCCGGCTTTGACACCGGAAGAAACGTCAGTGGCGCAATTTTAAATTGGGAGGCTGAAGATGTCAGTCCAAGGGGCGTCACGAAGAAAATCCCAGAATAAGTCCCAATCAGCGTGCTGGTAACGGAAAGAGATCTTATTTATGGATAAGGGGTTCCTGTTTAATGGATGCTTGGAAGGAGATATCAATAGCTATCACAGAATGGTCCGAATTACCAAGGGGTCATTATTGTGAAACTCGCCAAGAGCAAGGAGAGGTAAGAAATAGATCCAGTAGAGAAGTCTATTGCTCGGTTTGGCTAGGGAAACGAGTAGGGAAGTTCACAATTTGAGTGAGTTATTGGGCAATGGAAACAAATTTAATGTCTGTATACCGGTACCATGAGTACCTTTGGAACGTTTCAGTCACCGAAGACAAAGATAGCACTTTTCTAATACTGTCAGCTATTGCACCTAATATACTGCAATCTTGGAAAGAGGGGGAGAAAAAAAGAAAAAAAAGAGATATCTGATAGAGTTTAGTAGCGAAAGACGGAATCACATGAAAGAGTAGTCGGCGGCCTCCCGGGTGTAAACTCCAAGAACATGTATATACTGGAATCTTTTGGCAAAGGGAACCAAATCATTGGAAGCAATGGAAGAATTCAAGTTCATTTCATTTTCAAGTATGTTATAAGATATCAGTATGTGTATCTTTAATTTCATGACATACTTGAAAATGATGTGACTATTCCGTTATTCACTAAATATTGAAAATTGTTAATAACAACATTAATAAGCATAATAAAATGAAGACAGTTAAACGTCATAAACAGGGGAGGCAAAAGGATTAGCCTCATAAACATCAATATATATATATATATATATATATATATATATATATATATATATATGTATATATATATACTTTTAGGAAAAAATCTCGGATACACGGGTAGCATAGCATTTATTGGCATGTGAAAGGTGGGTTTTCATGGACAGTGAAGTGTAGCTCGAGGCAACTGCGTTCGTTTTCGCCCAAAGAGACTTGGAAAGGTATGAATCCATCTATTCTCCCGCCACCCCAACTATACGTTAATAGCAAGGCAGTTTGAGTTGATAGGTGAAGGATAAAGGAATTCAAAAACTATAAGATTGGCATAGGGATAGCATTATTTCCTAAATATTACAACACTAATGCCTAGTCTGCTGAAGCTACAGCCCTATACTCCACAGGGGAAGCTAAGGATTAACAATAACAACGATGGCCACGACGAAGAAGGAGAAATATCATAAAATCATTCAACTAGAAAAATCCAGACTGCAATAATATCCATGAGATCCCATTAAATAGAATATCCGACAAAATTTTGGTGATAATTAAAGAAAGCCACGTTTCCCTGCTGACTGAATGCAAGACGAAACTATTGCACGGAAAAAACAATTACTAGCAATTAACTCATCCTTTGCTAACTTGGAAATTCCTAACAGGATAATTCACGATACATTATGACAACTGATCCATTATAGAACAGTGTACTTCTTGCGCAGAAGAAGAAATGATGAAAAAGAGAAACTAGAGGAATAAAAGACTTACTATTAAAAATCATGGTTTTGTTAAAATAGATAACAAGAAAGAATGTAGCTATGATATCGGCTGATTACCAAAAAAAAAAACACACTATAATATTGAAGTATCAGGGAGTGTAGTCATTCATATGTAATGAAATGAAGATTTACTGAGCAGAGCTAATTGTAGGAGATTAATGCCTCGTCGAGATCAACATAAATCGAGGCATTTTACAAGAAGATCTTTACATTTCAAAATTCAAATGAAAACGTACAGGCGGTAAAGGCCGCTATAAATTCAGTGATCCACAAGAAAGACTTAATTATTGAATGTATATGAACAAACTGGAATTATTTGCCAAAAATAAAAATAAACTGGACACTTTAGTACAGTCAGAAATTCTAGTCATGACATTGGAATAGAGTTTAAAATTGAAAAGTATGCAATGGTGTGCACTAAGTTAAAAAAAGGGCAGCAATAGTGTTTTCAGCAACCCAACAGTTAAATGCGTTACTGGAAGCGAATTCAATTAGAATAAGATGAAAGGTGAATTCAGAAAAGAATACATCAGAAAATCAAGGAAGATTTTTTAAATTGGATTTAGCAGTAGGAATATAATTAAAGGAATAAACGCAAGTGTAGCATCCATTGCAATATATTCATTCTAAAATGCACAAGAGAAAACCTGACACATATGGATCAAAGATTGAGGACATTGATGTTTATGTTTAAAACATGAAACTAGAAAGATTGAGAAAGAGAGCTCGTTAGCAATAACGTCATTTCAACGACTTTATTATCAAAAGTTTTGAGAGCAATACAAGACAGAATAATGAAAAATTAATTATGATTGTCGAAATTTACGCTAGAAGAGACAAGAAGATAGATGTTGTATCAGAAAATTATCAATCGCAAAGCCATGAACTAGAAGGAAAATATACAAACACATTAATAAAGGATAAAATGAAATTGTAAATAGGATGTCATGAACGTTTTTATGGATTGCAAATTGAAAAGAGAAACAGAATTCTGAAAGAAAAATATCAATGTCAATTGCTTTCTTCTATAACCTTATAGAAGAAAGCAAATGTAGTTGAAAAGCTTAGAAGGAAGACAAAAGTATCCATGGAGTAGGAAAAGTGATCCAGTAGAAAAACAATTTTGAATTGGCCAAGAAAATCTAAGCTATATGCTGAAATCAAAAATTGTCCAGGAGAATAATAAATGAGAAGTTTTATCGAAATTTGAAATTCAAATGACTTACCCAATCCAGGACAGAACACTAAGTCTAGTCATCGAAATTAAGAAAAAGAAACATTGTCAGTAAATCAATATCAGAATAACAGAAAAAAATGAAAAGCTGGAAAAATAACTGGAACTCACGAGAGAGAGAGAGAGAGAGAGAGAGAGAGAGAGAGAGAGAGAGAGAGAGAGAGAGAGAGAGAGAGAGAGCTATCACAATAGTGGAATAGGAAGATGATATTTGGGCCTAGTATTATTAAACTGCTAAGAACAAAATGGCCAAATTACATTGCAAATAGGTTGGCAGAAACAAGCAGGCACCATTACTACAATCAGTCAGAATTTTGCTAGATTATTAAGGAGACTTGTTTATATTTGATTTCCAGTTAAATTCATTTGTTACATCTAGCTTACATTTCTTTATTGACTTTTCATAGTCAATAAAGAAATTGGAACAGATAGTAAGGAGAATGCAGGATTGCTGTCACTTGATTTCCAACGCAAATTTTCAAATATTGGTGTAAAAATTCGATATTCACGTAAAATCTAAACTAAAACCGACGAGAATAATGTGGGGGTACAGATAATCTATTCTCAGCCAATACTATACTATACTATACTATACTATACTATACTATACTATACTATACTATAGATATGACAATTCACTGAAAAATACAGATTTATGAGCAATTATAGGTCCATAATGCGATAACCACCAACGCGGAAAATCACAACTGAAGAAAATTATCAAAATTTCATGTTGAAAATAATAAATTGAAAAGTATTAAAAAATGCCCGAGAACTGTAGAGGTGGAACTTGTGGAAGTGGGTCGTTCAAAAAATTATTGGCGCACTGAAAACTGAATCTAAGAGACTAGGGAATTTGAGACTCAAAAGAAGGATTGCGACTAACCGCGGCGATATTGGGATCAATAAGAAATCTTTTTACCACCCGAACCTTCTCTTTTAAAAAAAAAAGATACAGATAAAATACAATAACAAAATAATAATAACAACAACAACAGTAACAATAATAATATTAATGATGATGATGATGATGATATTAATAATGCTAATAATAAAGATAATTAAGTATATACAACAATCAAATGAAATCAGGTGCATAAAATGAGAATAAACACATATAGATCAGAAGTTCAAGGAATAAACGCACGCAAAATATATGTAATACATGATACATAATACATAATACATAAAATGCCATTTTCACAATTACTGGAGAACTGGAGCAGTTTCTGCAAATACTTGAAGGAAAACAAATAGTTTAAAAAGTATTAGTGTCAATTTGTCTTCAAAATCAAACCTAGAATTTTTTTATGAATGAACGAATGACTATAAAGTAATTGTTTAGTATTTGTTAGGTATTGTGAAAGCACATTTGGCCACCTTCACAGTACAAAGTTACACAGACACCAAATAATCTCTGCAGGACACCAAGTTTTAAAGTATTAAAGAAAATCCTTCAGTTTCAGATTTGTAGATTAATGACAACGGGCTACAAATCTATAACCTATTATGACAATGGTAATCATTATCATGATGATTCTGAAAAAAAAACTTATAATGATAATATTGATAAAAAAAACTAACGATTACGTTGATAAATACAAAGATGTTGATGATGATCTTTCATTTATGGCGTCACCTTAGAGCTTAAGTGAGACTAAGATTATCAACGTCAACAACCTTTCCCTCTCACGTGGCATCTTGCTTTCAGTCGTTTGTAGCAGTTTCACAAAATTGGCAGACTAAATCGATGCAGGCTGTTCAAAATGTCGGCGCTGGGAAGCGAGAGTAAATTTAGTACGTGTCAAAGTAACCCAGCTCGACCAGACGCAGCGATAGGCAAGTAGGTAGATAGGTAGGTAGGTTTTAGACAGGTGTGAAGGTAGGGAGGACACCCAGATGAGTAGGAAGGAAAGAAGATGCAAGTGACTAAGATAGCGAGAGAGAGAGAGAGAGAGAGAGGCGTAGGCGCGTACACACACGCACACACACATATGTACGCACACATCTTTGTGGTGTAATAAAAACAACGGATACAGATATATACAGACAAAGCGATTGCAAAGACAAGGTGAAGAAGACTTAGTGATCAAATGCTTGTTTTAGTATTGCGTGTTGGATTTTACTGAGAAAATAAAGTAAAAAGTAATGAAGGAATGAAAAAAAGGAATAAGGATTCAAAAGAGGAAAACAAAGCAAACAAGGTGGATGCGGAGGAAGAGAAACAGTAGAAATAACGAAACAGCAAAAAGAGAAGAAAAAGAAAAAGACAAAGACGAAAACTTATACGGAGAAGTAAAAGAAAATCAAGAGAAAAGTAAATGAATCGGAATTTCTGAGAGAGAGAGGGAGAGGGAGGGAGAGAGAGAGAGATAAAAGTAATTCGTTGATGAAAATGGGAGGGAAAGAGTATTAGAACGAAGTTTAGATGAAAGGAATGAAAAAAATTATAGTAGCTAACAGGAAGAAAAAAGATTAATACTGGATTCAAGTGTTCCATGAGTAATAAAAAGATGGAAAGATCTATCGAAAGAAAGGGAAAACAGAAACAGAAGTAGTGAAACGAAGGGAGAAAATGTAGAAAGAAAAGAGGAAGAGAAGACGAGAGTGTGAGATGAAAATGGAGAGTTGACAATAAGAGAGGAAATACAGTAAGAGAAAAATAGGAAAGAAGAAAGAATGGAAATGTGAGGAGGTAGAGGAAAGAGATAATGCTGGATGGCTATGATTAAATGAGTGGGAAGAATAGGGTATTATATCGAAAGAAAAGAGAAGAAACTAGAAGAGATCGAATGAAAGGAAACGAAACCAAACTAAACAGGAAACGAAGTAAATGGAATAAGAAATAATAAAAGGAAGAGAAAGCGACAAGAACCATCGCAGGAAGAAAGGAGAGAGAAGATGAGAAAAAGTAGAGCACGTGGAGTAAAAGGGGCCAGAGGGAGAATTCTAAAATGGATAGGAAATAGTTGAAGTTTATAAAGTACTACTAAAGCTTTTATTGGATGCAAAATAGTCTTGTCTCAGACTTTTTTCTTATTTTGAGTATCAGAAAATATAAAATGAAAACAAAATAATTTTTGTAAAGATACCAATTTGAATAATCTATTTCTCTGTTTTTCTTCCTGGCACGCAATTGAAGAAAATACATACATACAAGTAGACGCCATTGATGAGGAGTATTTATATACATTTTCTTTTTTAGTCATATATATGCATATGTGATTTGATGAGCAATTAACTTCACATAGAGTACACAATATTTAGTCATTTAAAAGGATTCATTCCTATATTCGATATTAACTAGAAGCGATCAAATAATTTGCTTGATTTCCTTGCCTGATTTTTGCAATCAAAGCATCATATTTTTCTTTTCTCTTCTTTCTAGTGTCATCCAGGACTTGGAAATACAAATTCTGCTTCCTCATTACTTTTTCATCTATCTATTTTGCCACATTGAATTCTATCAAGAACGTTTGTATTTGACAGAGAAAGAGATGGGTTTGCATCAGAAGTGAAAAACTAAAAGGAAATAATGACACGAATAAAACAGTGATAAAAGAGAAAAACATGTAGAGAACAGAAAGAATACTGGATTAAAATGGATGTAGGACATTTGATAGGTGAAGGTTGCCACTTATGTCTTGGATAGATGCCATAGAAATGGGACATTATCCACAAAATTAATGTAATACTCAGATTTACTCTTTTTAGTGTCAGATTCAAATGCGTGTCGTCTAGCAGCTGTCCATTTCATTAGGTGCACAAAGATGACAGTCACACATAATCAAACCTGAGAATGAAAGAACTCACATATTTAAACATGCTTCGAATGTCATATACCGCTTAAAATAAAACCGTTTAACAGAACCTTTTGTCAGAAATTTTCTCTTGTATGGATTTTCCAGTATATGGTTTTTCAATATATGATTTTTATATTTTATGGATTTTTAATTATATAGTTTTCCTTATATGAGTTTTATATTATATATATTTTCTATAATACAGATAATCCATTACATGTGTAGGGAGACAACAGTTGTTTTCCCTTTGGTTGATCGCGTGGGAGTTCAGCCCCTTTAGAGAGGAGAATTCTTCCCTTATTGCTTCCATTTGGGGAATGGTTAATTCCTAACCACCGGGGTGTCCCCACACGTGGAAAATGGACAACACGTTCACAGCCTAACGTAGAGGGAAAATAATTTTGATTTACCTTGCTAAGAATGGTCAAAGAACATAAGGCTCGTTTGTTTATTTCCTTCTTCGCTTTTCTATCATACATTGTTGTCATTCGAACTGTGTGAATAATCATTTGTTTTGGGACATGTGTAAATCAATTTAACATATGTACCTAAGTTATATTTGTCTTATTAAATGTTTTGTTTATTACGGGCATGTATCTCGTCTTTCCATACTCACATTCAGTGTTAGCGTATCAATGGCTACACTAATGCTAATATTAGTACTTGGTGTACAGGGAAGCATTATTTTTCCTAGCACTAAATAGCCGGTAAATTATGGCTGGCTTATAAACAACACTAATACATGGATTTTTAATTACATGGACTTTCCTTCAAAGTTATTACAATTATTATTACTCGTTATTCTGAGAAATAAAATGTTCTCTATTAATCTTTATAGTAGATAAGCAATAGTAATTTATGGACACGAATTATTATATCATACGTACATATGAGTTAAGAGATATTCTTTCTTTTGAGCACTAAACTTTTAGAATTTCCCTTTCAGGTTAAGAATTCCCTAGCTCTTTAATGGGTCGACGAAAAGATAGTGCTAATATTTTTTAAGAAAAATGTTTTTTTCTTACTTTAAACTTAAAGGTAAACAGAAAATGTGTCCCTCTAAGTTTAAATTAAAATCTTTCTGTTGCCATTTCTTTGTATTCGCTTGTATTTTCGCGTGATTTCAAGTCTAGTTCAGTAACCTATTAACGTCTCAGTTAATAATCGTTTTGTTTTACCACATTTATCCTATATGGGAGGCCACAAATGATATTTATTTGACATGTTTTAGCATAGTATACGTAACTGAATAAAGAATTTGAGAGAAACAAATGTAAAAAAATACAATAAACAAAAAAACAATGGTTTAAATTCAATGAAAAATAACAGGTTTTCCGATGCTTTGATTGAATCAACAGTGTTATTTTATTCTAATGGATGAAACATACGTATAGATTATAAAAATTATATAAATTATTAAACATTTTAAATCTATATTTAAATTAAGGAATGCATTTTAATTGATAAACATTAAAATTATTAATACTTTATTAGCCTATTTTATTCTTGTTTATATAATTTTTGCAATGAATGAAACGCAAATTGCACCATATAAATACGGATAAATTCAAAAGGATATTCCGTGGCTGAGAAAACAAAACTTATGTAAATAAATATTAACATATTGAGATTTTTTATTTATTTTTGACAATCTGCTGATATTTTTTTATTATATTCCGTTTACTTATTGAATTATTTAAGTTCGACCAAAAATTTTGTTTAACTTTTACTGGTGAACCTCCATTTTCACGTTAGATCCAATCGTCATCAATTTATCTACAATAACAGAATCAGAGGTCATCATTGTGTTGAAGTATTACCGACTGTCTCTAATGAGACTATGTAAGTGATTTCTGCATAGTAGCTTCTAACTATTAATGGCACAAAATCACTTTTGAGCCAACCTGAAAGCTTTGATCGGCGCGAAAAGAGAAATCGAGAAACCGACTTCAAATTCTGGTGTGACGTCACCCTGGTCTCTCCCGTGCTATCACGTGACGATCTAACCCTTGGCTGATTCGGATGGAAATCTGGTTAGATTTGGCATCAGCTTTGTCGTTTCCAGCACGCCTCCAACGTCTGGTTACCGAAGTAACTACTTTGATTTCTAGTCTAACCTACCCACGTTGTGATTTGATCTTAGGTAGACGAAATTATTCAGGCGCCGGGCCGTAGTGCAAGCCGAATTCGGGGCAAAGGCGATACCGCACAAATATATGTGAAAGAAAATAAAGTAACAACTCGAAATATTCAAATGTGTTAAAAAATGAATAACAAGTATGTTTATATCTGGTTGCTGAATACAGGACTGCATCTTTCTCCCAAACCGCTTCTATGGATACGTGACACATTGTGTTTCTTAAGCGAGTCTTACTAATCTTAAGTTGTTTTTCAATAAACTGGTTTTTGGTATCTTCAGGCGATATTCGTAAAACTTGTTTTAGTGGTGTGAGTCTAAGTCATTCTTCAAAAAAAAAAAATGTCTTTGGTTAGAAGACTAAGTCGGAATGCGTGGAATCTTTCAGTCAGTTCCTGCGAGGCCGGTCTCCGAGCTCACAGCTCAACTCTGTGACTCCAACTCTGTCTGCGTCTGCGTCTGCGTTTCCGTCCGCCTCCAACTGTCTTGGGGACGTCCGTTTATGTGGACGCCGACCAAAACCTGGTGGGGGCCTGTCGTGGTTTGTGTTCCTCGATAATTTCAAATCCACAGTAAGGATTTTCTTTATTTTCGGACAGGAAAATTTATCACTTCCCATTTTTGGAAGTCAATTACTTTCTGTTTTAGAGGGGTTGTCCTCCCAAATTCTTCCTTTCTCATATTGGTATCTCACACCAATCCCCTCAGAGGGGCTCAACAGGTTTCCCTTCTTTCTCATATGTTTACCTTTGCCCATCGCTCACGTCACCATTCAGCCAATGAACGCTCGGCAGTGTGGGTGTGGCTAGACTGGCCTCAGTTTACAATTATCGCTCAAAGAAAAAAATTAGCTTCCTTTTTCTTTTCTTTCTTTTCCACCGACTAGAACCCCCACGAATCGTACTGTGGTCATTAAATCTCTATCTTAACTTGATGTCATCTGGGATTCATCAACGGGATTTTCGCCAAGTTATTATCTGGGTGGTCAACTGAATCTCTTTGTCTTCCTCAACATCTTCGCACTCTGTCGCCAACAGACTGTTCAGGTAACAAACTTTTATCATGGCCAGTTCTGGAGATAAAACAGGTGGTTCTCTTCCAAAACCAAATGATATCTCCGAAAGATAATGGCTTATTCTTTTCCTTTTTCTCTTCTTCCTTCCTCTTTCTTTGGGGTGGTCTCAGCTAATTCTTTCTCGGTCGCAATTTCCGATTATCTTCTAGCATTCCGCTTTGTAAGCCTCTTGACCAATTTGAAATTTTCATTATTGCCATGGGCAGATTGCTATCTTTTATTCGCATTCTGCCGTTTCTCGCCGCATCATGGCATAAATTAATTCTGACAGATCCGAGATCTTACGAATTTTCTATCTTCTGCGAAAAAAATATTTTTCTTCGCAAATGAAAATAAAATCTTTACCCACTTTTCTTTTGTTAAAAAAATAACATCGCTCAGTATGTCTTTCGTGATAGCTTCTTCTCGCCTTAAGTATTTCTCGCTTTTAATTTCCACGCTTAATTAGTTAGCCAACAACTAAATAGTGTCACACTGGTTAAGTCTTTTTCATTTTAAATTTAAAACCAGCCTAAAAAGAGATGGACTTCGTCAGGTTTCTTTGCCTAGACACATTCACTGCAGGTTTGGCTGCAGTAAATAGAGTATCCCTACGTAAGGTATTACAGGTGATTTTGATCGCAAAAACTATGAAGAAGAACGTCGCTTATTAAACATTCATTATTAGAAAACTCGATCAAAAGCTGCGACTAGTGAAGCTTGTATTCAGCTTTAGCGGAAGGTACGAAGCAGTCGTTCACGCTATCAAATAAGGTCATAATCTGGAAGTTACATCCGACGCCCCAAAGAGAGTTCTTGTCAAGCGTGAAATAAAAAATTCAACAACCTTATTCAAGATCTCCTACTGAAGGCATTTATCAGACCCTTCGAGTAGTGGACTTTCCAAGGTCGTTAAAATTCCTACCGCTGTGGGCGTCCAGCATGGGCCATTATGTTTGCTGTTCATCATCAATGCAGTAACCTCTGGAAGGAAAGCAAGATCGCTTTTTCCTATTTGTATATTCGTTTGGGATTTGTTAGGGAATGTTTAAAGGCTCACGGTCCATTTCTTCATACATATGCTTCCATACGCGCAGAGGGATTCTTTAATTTTTGTTGCTTTGTCTTAAATATATAATTGGGAGGTAATTACTTCTGCAGTCAGCGCTTTGGTATATTTTAGAGGGCCATTCTAAATCATATGTTGATTTTAAGATGTCTGTCTGACTTTTAATGTCTCTTGGCAGGCACTTCTATGTCCAGATGCGTTTTGGTTGTTCTTCAAGTCAAGAGTATGTTAATTTTGGTTACTTGTGTCCCAGTGAAGACATTTTCTCCACATTCGTTACATGACCCAATTCTATATTTACTGACTACTTCACTATCCTAGTAATTTCTTTTTACTTACTCTTTTATTTGGTATTTTCTCCTGGGTTGCAAAACATCCGCTTTTCCTTCGCTGCTTTCTGATGTGGATATATATACCACTATGATTAGCATATTGAACGGTTTTCCCTTTAGGTTCCATCAGTAGAATTCTGTTTAACAGTCGTCAGTACGCCAAAACTCACTTCCCCATGTCTTTATCTAATATTAGTCTGATATCACTTTCATTTGTTCTCTTCTTGGATATCCTGTAATTGTCGATTATAAAACCCTTATTGTTTTTCCATTTTGTTTTTGTTATAAGTTAATATTAAGATTTTCTTCCTCTTGTTAACTAGCAGTTGATTCTTGGTGTTAACCCGCCTTTTAATATGTCTTCCGTGAAGTGTGGAATCACTTTGTTCCTCAAAGTAAACTACATAAAACCATCCTATATGGGTGAGTCTGTTTTATATACGTTATAGGTTCTTAATCAAGTCTATTTAAGTGTAAAGCGATGATATTTTATGTTTCTTTGTTTTTTCTCTCGCATTAGCTGAAAGCGCATAAAAAACTCAAACTACCTATTGTTTAATTTTAAATGTTCGTTTTAAACAAAATTAATTCTTGTAAATTTCTTTTATAATTTCACGTTAAATTTAAATTATCATTATTATTATATTGAATATAGATTTATGCAATAAATTTTAAAATATATATGCATAGAAAACAACGGGGGTAAAGGTCTTGTTTTCTTTCTTTTTATTTTTAAACTCCTCCGCGTTCTCTTCCAGGTACCTGGAAAAAATAAGATCATGATAAAAAATAAAATGATTTTCTTTTCATAATACATATATTTTTTTTTGATGTACCACTTTGTTACTGTGAAAATGTTGAAAATAGAAGCAATCAAATTTCCAAAGATGACATACAAATAAAAAGCGAAAAATGATGTAGTTTTTTTTTTCTTTTTTTTTTTGTAGATTTTATTGATTGATTTGTATTTTTTTTCCATTAAAAGCTGAAACATATTTTTGGATTGTAACAATTATTTTTTGGCGAGTGAAAATAGTATTAACAATTTTTTTTTGAGATAATAATGATTTTCAGATAGAAGTCCTATTAATTAACCCATAGCTAGGGGGAGAAGAGGTGGAGTCATACCTTTACCAAGGTTATTTGCGCGTAAGTGAATGTAACGAATCCAACTGAAATTCGAACCCATCTCTTCAGTCCCGACGTTGCTTTACTTCGGTGATCCAAAGAGAACTGGTGTTTCAACGAGATATGGCGTTAAGCCTGTTTTTGTTGGTCTGAATCTAAGTGAGTAAAGAGAGTATAGAGATTTTGATGCCTTCTTCGAGGTTTCATAATGCGAATTTGGCTTTATTGGAAATTCTCCAACAAAGACGTCTTGAACATCCACTAGGTTTATCATAAGTGACAAGATTTGCAAAGAACTTCATTGTATTTGAGTTACTGGTAGCTTTAAAAAGAGAAAAAAATATAGTTTGTCAAGCCATTATACATATAATGAAAGGTATTATATATATATATATATATATATATATATATATATATATATATATATATATATATATATATATGCATACTTTTGCATATATAAGATATTCGCTTAACTTTATATATTCATTTTTCATATTTATGTTTATGCGTTTTTCTCGGCGACTTTCTTAATATCATCAGTTCTCAACTCAGTATCTTTGCTGACGACACAACTATATACTCCTGTTTTAATGGTAAGTTTGATCTTTTCGATAAGGTCAAAGTAGTAGGTGATATAAAAAAAATCATCTACAAAATGTTGATTTTATCGCCTCCAAAATGAAAGTGCTCTCTTTTAATCATCCTAGAGAACATATTTTGATTTCCGTCAATATGGCTGATGCTAACCTCCAGGAAAGTGACTCATTGGGCCTTTTCATGCTAATGTTTTAATGCTGACATGAAGTAGGATGTTTATATTGCATCAATTCCTAGTTTTTTCTGCTAGGAAATTTTATCGTTCTAGACAATTTTTATCATCAGAATCTATCTAAACATTTATAAGCCTTCCATTTGCCCATACATTGAATATTGCTGCACATCTGGTCTGGTACTTTCTGCTATGTATTTAGAGATTCTTGATAGAATACAAAGAAGAATCTGCAATGTTATTGGTCCTAATCAGGAAATCAAACTTAATCACTTTCTAACCACAACCTTTTGTAATTCCATTCTGCCTTCTGTATAAATATTTTTATGGTAATTGTTCTTTGCTACCTTGACTTTACAAATCTACGCGCAATACTAGATTGGGGACTTGGTCTTATAATTTTACAGTTTAAATAACTAGATGTAACCCTAAGTTCTGTGGTAACAGTTTCTTATTTCGCACTTCTCGCTTGTGGAATCTCTTTCAACTTCTTGCTTCCCAGTCAAATTTGACCTTCAGAAATTTAAATGCTATGTCAATTGTTAACTTTTATTTTTTTTAATCCTTGTTCTTTTATTGTTCCATCTCCTTAATAATGTTTTCTTTTTCTCATATTCTTTCACATTCATTTGCATCTTAGTGGCTTTATTGCCTTGCTTGGAGTGAAATGGTTAAAATAAAATATTAAAATATTTAAACCCTTAATTAGAAATTTCACTGATTTGTCGTTATGAAAATTACAGACTTATGTATCATGTTACATGTATCATCCGTATTATTAAGTGCTAACATTTAACAGCTTCAAGTTTAGTAATATTCATACGCACAATCGTTTTTTAGACGTAATATTCAATGTAGGTATTTCAAGTTTTAATATCATTAACTTTTTCAGGAACTGTAAAGCATCAGACTTAAAAAAAAAAAAAAAACAGAAAAAATATTTAAAAATATAAAGATTTTATTTTCTGCAGGAAATCTTTGAGTAAAAGGTAAATGATGAAAAGCCTACAGAAACAAAACTAAATTTGTTCAGAACGCTGTGCATAATGGATCTTTTGACAGCATACAGCTGTAAGTTTTACAGTTTGCAACCAAAGTGAAATAAGAAAAATTAACAAATCTTTTATATATCGTCCATAGACACTTCTGACACTAGAGACATGCGAATACTTTAATATATGTTCAGTAACCAAATTCTCTTGCTACTCATCTACACTGCTGTTCATAAATCGGCTTATGTTTTAGTAATTTTATTGACTGCCAGTAAATACATGGTCTTTTTTCTTTTTTCTATCTTTTTAGCAATGGCCGATAGCGTATCATTTTCACTAGAAAATTAAAAAATAGAATTAAATCTGCATCTTGGTTCGATGAAAAATGATGGGAGTAAAATATAACGATACTCTGTTTTCTGTTGAATGGCGCACTCTTGATGGAGAAAAACTACAGGGCCAGACGCAAATAAAATAATTACTTGTGTAAATCGTATATTATCAATTTATCTCTTCTTAGCCTCACAAACAAATGATACTGTCGAAGCATTTCCTTTTTTTCAATTTTCATTTTATAATGCTAAAGTTATGATTTGAATGAGATATTGATACTAAACAACCTTTTACAATTTCGATAAAATTGGAAACATTATTAATGTTATAATGAAAATGAAAAATTTATTGCTGTGATATTAAAAACGTGTCTAAGAAGTTAAGGACATCCAAGATCCTCAGTGGGCATCAAAGTTGGCCTATACTTCTTGCTAAGTCATGTTCCCCCAATTAATTTCGTGATTTTTTCTTTTGCGCAAAATTCGTGTCAATATTCACCAGGCTCGACGTTGCAAACTGAAAAATAATAGAGCTGGAAAAAGCAGAGCACACACACACACACACACAGAGAGAGAGAGAGAGAGAGAGAGAGAGAGAGAGAGAGAGAGAGAGAGAAACAAGCTGTTAGAAACATAAAATTCGTCATCAGAAATGTGTATCCCAAAGCAAAAAATGGAGTCTCAAACCAAAATCTCATTGCATATTCTGCAGTTAATCAGCTATCTTCTTGTGGACTAGCAGACCTTTTGTGGATAAAGTAAAACCAGTTATTTTTTAAAAATAACAATACCAGCAGAATTATTTTATTTTATGAAATGGTATTAAATAAACAACACGACCACCATTACCACCAGTAAGTCTGTTTTAAAAAATGCACATTAAAGCATTAAAAGATACCCCCTCAAGGGTCAAAATTCTCATCGGCTATTTTATTCAAACGCTTTTGTCAAGTCTCAATAAACTTAAATTAGCGTGTCGACTGATAAATACTACTACTGCCGCCGCTGCCGTTGCTGCTACTACTACTACTGCCATTTACTCTGGTGCACAGTGCCTTTACTAAGCGTTACATCAGAATGATATATTATGTTGAAGAAAAGTATCATATACACACGCACACGCATGAACACACATACGCACACAAACTGTTAGAAACATGTAAAATTCGTCATCAGAAAATAATGACCGTGTTTTTTTCCGGTCTTTACAAAATAGGTTCGGCAACCTCTGAAGATTTCGAAAGACTTGATTCATTAGTCACAGTTTTCAATCCCTTATCTACTGGTAGATGTATGTAGTCTTCATAACTCTCTAAATATACATGTATGTATGTTGAATTTAAGTGTAGGTGCTTATGATTCTCTGTTTGTGTGTAAGTGTGTGTGCTTAGCTTTGCGCATAAAAACAATATTTATACATTTGCAGAATATTTTGTGCGATATTTTATTATGCAAGTCGATTTTTCCCAATAAATTGGTATTAACCATCTGGTGTTGTAATATTTTCAGACTATATTTACATCTATATGAGCAATATATCGTGCTTCTATTATCTATTTATACTAACAATACTTATAAATTGCTTGAGGAAACCAGGTTTTATTCAAGAAAGAAATTAAAAAGATAATTTTTAAATAAATATTTAAAAGATATAAGCCCTAGAAATATATATTTGCTGAACACAATATCCCAGACACTTGAACAAATTAGTATTTAATTATTTTACGTCTTAATATGGGCATCCTTGACCATTTATTGGTTATTGTTAATTTTTCTATTGTTTTGAATGTAACATAACTTACAGAATCTTTTATCGTTTCCCGAATATCTTCTTTGCTTGAATATAACATTATTCAGTTCTCTTTAATGATATGCTACAAGTTTTCTATTAGATTGATATTTGAAGAGACTGGGGCATTTCCATTAATTTTGTGTCTTTGAAACTTTTTTGGCAAGATGAGCAAAAGTCAGTATGCAGAATGTGAGGGAGCATTGTTTTGAATAAATATGCTCTTTGACTTAAATCTTTTTGGCTCTGAACAGCATTACTAAAAAAAAAAGACAAAAAAAAAAACACGTTATCCAAAAACTGATAATAATTTTTGCATTTATCTTGGCATTTATTAACGTTGAAGGTGGGCTATAATTTTACGTTTACAATATTAGCTTAAAACATTGTTCCATAATATCAACGCTGTCTTTTAAAACTTGTTCGTTAACTATTTTTTAAGGACTCAACCCCTCACGTTGCCATCTGCCCCATCAAATGTAGCTCTATAGTTTGTCTTTAAAAGATCTCAGGTCAATTTTTACATGATTTCCAAAGTTGTGCCTCTATCACTTAATAAATTTGAGGTTATATCATTATTCCAACGCATGGGCGTCTTTATATATTTGAAATTAAATATTATATATCTATTTAAAATATGATAAACACACTTCAAGTTACAAAATAAAATCTGTTGTTCTCAGTATTTCTAATAAAACAAAATTGCTGAAATTTACATGGTATATTTATCATATAAGTATATCCTGAAATGTTTACTGGCATTGGTTACATAGTAACAATTTCATTGTAAAATAACGACTTGCATAAATCTGATATCGTGCATATATACTGGTGTTCTTTTATTTGTGCTTATATATGTTCGTTTAAGGAGTTTGCAGTTGTGAACATATATGAATGCGTACTTTTTGTAAGTCTATTTAACCGAACACAGATGTGTATTAATCAAGCTTATCCATAAATTATGAATTTTTTAAAGTTGACTGAATGTCTTATATTCAATATTTTATATTCTTGTGATGTAAGATCGGAAAAAGCTTCTAATTAGATTTGAATTCTTATTCCAAGACCCTTAGTAAGCCATTCGATAAGGAAATGATTTATTTAAGAAAGGCAGAAAACTTTAAAAATTCTATTACATCTAAATAATACAAGATAGTAAAGCATAAAATAAATAAATTGGTTACAGAGAGCAGTAAATTGGATGGGTACGCTCTACGTCTCCTGTAAAAATGTATTCAGGTAAATTGTGCATGCGAAACGTATTAAAGTAAAGAGGTAGTGTAGCTTTGACATGAACGCGGACAGGATTTTAAAATCCTTTGATTGATGTGACCAGAAAAATGTGAAACTCTATCTCCGAAGTGGCAACAGATGTAAGCTTTTTTCGAGCAAGATTAACACGATTAGATATACGGTTTTCGAACAGAAATCAGTGAATCATCACTTAAGAAAGAAAAACATTGAAACAAATCATATAGTAGTTAAACGCTGGTCCCACTCCAGCCATCAGTTCAGCATTGTACGGCACGCACTGCATTCCAACAAAAGCCATCGACTAACAAGGAAAACAATTTAACATTAGTTACATTATCATATTTAGGTCTGTGAACCTCGCCTTGGACCAAGGAAGACTGCCGTCCTGTCGTCTGGACAGATATGTCATGTTTCCAGCATTTTCAGAATAACTTGTGATGATTTACAAGCTATTGCAAATCTGTTATGGGATTTTGCAAGGACCACTAGAACTGAAGTCTGTTTAACATGCACAGATTGTATTTAAAATCATATGCATCCCGTTATTTTCTACGGGTGATGATTTCTTTCACTAGCATAATGTGTGTGGATACCATAGAAGATTTAGTCGACTTCCAGCTATTCCATTGATCAATTATGTATTGGAAGAAATGTTTAAACTCCTTTGAGTACATGTGAGGCATATTTCATACTCAGATATGAGTCCATTGATCAATTATGTATTGGAAGAAATGTTTAAACTCCTTTGAGTACATGTGAGGCATATTTCATACTCAGATATGAGTCCAGCACGGTCGTGTAGCAGATATTATTCGGACGAAATGATATATTATTGGGGTACCTACATTTAATTTAGTTTTAATTGAAAAATATCACACATAGAAACGAATTATATATTATTACATATAGATATTTAAATATAGAATGATCGATAAGAGTTTTCTGAGGAAAAAGTGGATAAATACCTATTTCTCATTCAAGAATGCTACATTTCCTATTTCAAGACTCAAATAAAAGTTGAACTTCGGAGTATTTTAATTTTGACGTAAATCATCATTGAATTTTCGCAGATCTGAGTTTAGAAAAAGTATTTCTTTAGTTATATTTTAAATGAACCAAGCAAAGGTTGGATATGAAAGAGAAATTAGATATAATGCCTTCACCTATAACCATATCGACCCAAACTTTGAAGGTTGTATTTTCTCAAGTGGAAATCAAAGTATATATTTAATAAAATGAAAAGTAACTCTTTATATAACGGAAAAGAAAACCTTAATTTATTTTGAAGTTACTGTTTTAGAATCAACACGTTAATATCGACGTTATAAAACATGTGAATAGATTAAATTTATAAAGAAGGTTGTGGACTTAAGGTAATAAAAGTTTGTCAGTACATAAATCAAATATAATGTTTTATGATTTCAATATAATCATATAAGCAACTACTTTTTGTTAAGGGTAACATGCTAATAAATCATTTCATCTTCATGCTTTGTAGCCCAGTGTTCATAGTCTCGTAAATGCAAACCTATCAGATAGTTGGTAGAAATCAAGTGAATTCTGACCAGGTTTTTTTGTTTTTTTTATCATTTCCCCCCAAGCATAACGAGAATCTCACTAGTACGCAGTGAGTCACAGAGAGTGAAAATGAGGAAAAAGCCTGAGTGTAAGGAGGATTGAGGAAAACACAAAAGATGAACGGGATTCAAGAACATAGAAGATGGCGATTGACGTTGCATTTAAATTTTTGAAGATTGTATTTATCAGGGAAACAAGTAAAAGGCGGGAAGTACGAGAAAAGAAACTGTTGGAGTAGAAGTTGCGGTTGCATTTAACTATTTCAACAGAGAAAGGGTGGAAACTGGATGCCATTCTAAATTCATATAATCGAGACACCAGGGGGAAAAGCTCGCCAGAGAAGTTGCCATGGAAATATTTGTAGAAAAGACAGGGAGAAGCCACGCCGAGTCGGTGAGAAAGTGTCTCAAGTCGAGATACCAAGTCAGGATCTATTATATTTCAGAGCCTTCTTTGGATTTTTTCAATAGCAGGAGCACCAGATCGGATATGTCAACAGTATTCAATTCATGGACGAATGGTAGATTTGTAAATGTGCAAGATGGACGAGAAACTCACCCTTATCTGCTGTAGATGTCAGGACGTAGAATTGATTGAATAAGATGAAGGATTGAGGATTTGTTCTTGTTCAGCACACTCTTGCAGAGCCGCCAATAATATAAGAGGATTACAGAGGAGGACTTCCAACAGCAGCGAGGCAATTGTTGTAGAGTGCATAGAAAGCATATATTCTCATCAAAGTAACACCAGACTGGACGTAAAACAGATTTAGAAAGATGCAATGAAAATTAAAATTTGCACCTAGTGGTGCTTTTATAACCTGATGAAACAATACTCCCAGGTAAAATGCTTTTATTTCAGAAATCTGAATATTGAAATCTGTTCGCTTTCATTATGTAGAAATAAAATTCTTAGCGTAAACATCGAAAATTTATGTAGATATTGTTGAAGGGTTCACCCCTTTTTACACAAATGAACTCACCCAGTATATACATATACTACTGCAAGAGTAAGACGAGAGTAAGACAGAGCAAGACCGAAGAGTCGAGTCGAGTCGAGTCCAGAGTGACAGAGTAAAAGGTTGTAGGTAACCGGAAGAGTGAGGGTGAGGTAACAGCGTTGTAGGAGTCATAGTGAGCGAGCACGTAGACTCAGTAAGAAGTCATACAGCGATACTTCAATATCAAAGACTGTATATATATTTTGCTACTAACACATATTCCTGGAACTACTAACCTGCTTTACCAGTTTGTATTATTACGTTAATACATTATTTTCCTATATTCATTCCTGGCGTTTGTTATTTATTGGTACCGGATTTCAACCCGGAATCCACAACAACAAAGGATATCGAACGACGAGGATATCGAACTCACACGGGAAGAAAAAGAAAAAAATTCTCCCTCGTCAACTTGGCGACGAGGACTTCGAAATCACAAGGAAAAAAATTCTCTCTCGTCGAACACAACAACTTGGCGACGAAGACTTCGAACTCACACAGAAGAGTACAAAGAAAAATTCTCCTTTGCCGACCACAACTTGGTGACGAGGAATTGGGACCTACCCGGAAAGAAAAAAATTCTCTCTTCTCACCACAACAGCTTGGGCGACAAGAATTTGCATTTCTCGGAGACTCAAAAGAGAAAATTGCCGTTTTGCCATTATCCACAACAACTGAGTAACAAAGAGTTACGAGGATTAAACTACAGAAAATCGAGATTTTTGTAAGACTCTTATCACGGAGGATTTTAAAAGTATTTTAGTAGAACTTATAAAATACCAAAATGAACAGCAATTACAATTCCAAGAAAGAATGGAAAAATATTACTGCAAACGCAGAAGGAAAATCATGAAAGACAAATGCAAAATGAAGAAAGACGAATACAACTCCAGGAGCTAATTGTAAAAGTAGCGAGTAATACACAACAACAAAATATTGAAAAAGAGGCGACTTTTTCTCAAGACGCATTATTGAACACGATAGAAAGATTCAAATATTCCCTAGAAGAGGATAAAAATTTCGGAGACTTTTTCAGACGCCATGAAGACATCTTCAACATCGATTGTCAAAACTGGACAGAAGCAAAAAAGCTAGGACTATTACTCAGAAAATTAGGAACGGAAGAATACACAAAATTCGTGGATTACATTTTGCCAAAGAAGACAAATGATTTAACGTTCGGTGAAGCAGCTTTTTAGCCCGAAAACGTCACTTTTTTACAAAAAGTGGAAATGTCTTAACCTCGTAAAGGATGAAAATGAGGACTATTCTACGTTTGTCGCAATCGTGAATAAACATTGCGAAGATTTCAAGTTGGCAGAATTAACTCCAGACAATTTCAAGTCTCTTATTTTTGTACAAGGGTTAGTCTCAGCAAAAGATAGTGAAATGCGCAAAAGAATGCTTTCAAAACTGCAAAATGAACCTGGATTAACACTACAAAAACTATTGGAAGATTACCAAAAAAGCCTGAGTATGAAGAAAAACTCGAAGGACATTGAGGAGTCAGGAGTATCACATATACGTAAGTTAAACAAAAGTTTACGTTTTTCACCCTCCCCGGAAAGAAGAAAAAAATTCTATAATAATGAAAAAAGATTTTCACCCTCCCGGAAAGAAAACGAAAATTCTAATGAAAAAAGTACAACTTACAGGGCAAATAATGACGAAAATCAAAGCAAATATAAGCCCCCCCCCATCTGCATGTTATCGATGTGGAGGACTACACTGGAATAAGGATTGTCGTTTTAAATATAAAAACTGTCTTCTTCACAAAGCATGTGGAAAGAAAAATGGGTAAGAACTACTAGAATGGCATCCCAATGCTAACATAAGGAACAGAAAATTTACTAGTAGGATAAGTGCTACTAGAATGCATGACGAAGACAATACTAACATAACAAAATATGTGGACTACATAAAATTACCTTGTGGTGGTTCTAACAGCGCCAAAATGGGGAAAATCAATTGTTTTAAATAAAAAGATAAAATGGAAGGGGACAACTCACATCAACGGATTTGACACAGGTTCAGACCTTTGACGATTAATGCTTTAAAATTCCATTTACAAACATTTATAATAAAATTCCATTCAATAGACCAATATTTTGTTTGAGTTTGGGTTTGACCAATTCGCAAAAAATAAAAATAAAAACAATGTTAAACAATAATCTAACGATCTCTACTGATTGTACGAATCCAAACAGAAAATTGCTAAATCTGTTACAGGAAAGTATTCGTAAAATAAAATTCGAAACTATTAAATGAATAAGAAGATCATAATTAATAAACCTAAATGTAAAATTTCACGGGAAAATATATTCAAAAAACTAAAGAAAACTCAAAAAAATATTCGTAATGAAAGATACAGAAAATCTGAAAGGCACGGACTGGATTTGCAAAAGTTCGACGTATGGGATTTACCTATCAGCTTTAAAAATTCCATTTTTGTATAAAAGATTAAAGTAGAGCGATTAAAAACATGTTTTTTTTGTTTGAGTTTCAGAAGTTAAATAAAAAAAAGAAAGGAAGAATTAAACAATAATCAAATTTTTTTCAAGATGGTGGTATTTTCGAGCGGGTTGGGTCGGTCTTGTAAAAAACAAATTTTACAGCTAGAATTGAATTAAAACCAAAACGTCCAACCAGTATTTACAAAAGAAAAGAAACGTAACCGTTTGCAAGAAAACTCAAAATATTCGTAATGAAGGATACAAAAATCGACAAAGAATTCGACGAGAGACTTTTGAACAAACTGGGATCCTGTTAAAAATAGAGTTTAGTGAATGGGCAGCACCACAAGTTTATGATAGAATTGAAAAAGAAACGTCCAACCAGTATTTGGAAATCTGTTTGCCACTATAGAAAAATCGACAAAAATTGACTTGAACAAACTGGGATCCTGTATCTGCAGGAGAAATCCGTGTATGCGCAGATTTCTCAACGGGTTTAAACAAGGCTATAAAAGACCATCATTATCCATTACCAAGCCCGGAGGAAAATATTCACCAAGCTTAACGGCGCTAAGATATTTTCCGAAATAGATTTAAGTGAGGCTTATCTACAGATCCCAGTACAAGAAGAGAGTACGAAAATTCTATGCATTAATACGCACAAAGGGATGTACAAGTTCAACAGACTATCATTTGGGGTAAAAGTTGCACCGGCAATTTTTCAGCAAACGATGGATACAATGCTCACGGGCCAGAATTTTGCGACCGCGTACTTGGACGACATCCTAATTAAAAGCAACAATGTTGAAGAGCACATAAAGGAAGTTTTCAAAAGACTTCAGGACTTTGGGTTTAAAGTAAAAGGAAAAAAATGTGATTTGTTCTTAAATGAAATCAAATACTTAGGGCATATAATTAATGAAAATGGTAGAAAGTCGGACCCAGACAGGACATTCGCAATAAAAAAATGCCTGAACCAAAAAATGTCGCAGAATTACAAAGTTTTCTTGGCCTAGCAAATTACTACAGCGAATTCATCGAAAATATGCACAGATTGATCCCCCCCTCAACGAATTACTAAAAAAAGAGAATAAATGGAATTGGACAGAAGAATGTCAGAAAATGTTTAAGGAGATAATACA